ATCGGACAAGCGCTGACTGAGGACTTCACCCCCGTCTTTGAACAGTGCAGGGGGAAGGTCATCCTGACCGGGAGGGCGGCGGCGCTTGAGAGAACATATGCAGTCGTAAACCTCCGAGGATGCAGGTGGTTACACGTTCACCGTCCAGGGTTCTACTTCACCTGTGGGCTCCAGATGAGTGCCGGCTGGTGGCCAAGACATTTGTTGTTCGAAGTATTCGGCCCACCGGTGGAGCCGTTCTTCTTTGTTCGAGATGGTCGTTCCATTCTGGTGTTTGATAGTTTCACAGGTGGTTTCCGGAGACACGTCGCACGGATCAACTGAAATAATCTCCGGGCATTACAGGCTTTCTGGGCCTCTTCCATTCCTTCGGCTTTCTGTGTCCACCACAGTTCACGGTCGGATCGGAAACTCACTTTCACTTGACGTCTGATGGCTCCTCGCATCGGGTTATGTTCGGGACCGGTTGGGATGTTTCTTCGAGATTTAAGTAGTGCCAACGTCCGGTCTGATATCCAGTGCTTGAGTGCGCCTGGATGGGTCGTGCCACAGGCAAAATTACCAGCACTATGCAAAGAGGTGGCAACCTCGTCCCAGTGTGAGTTCACATCTGATGGTGGAGCACTTGGAAGAGACTCAAGAAGATGATTCTTGTAAGTTCGTCTGACATCCGGATCTGCCAGTCTTTTAGTTTCCAGGCGATTTGTCCGCACCTTACGCGACCCCGGCAAACGCAGGGCGAAGCGACTCCTGACGAGCGCGTGGTCAGAGTCCACAAATGTGGTCCAAAACGACCGGCAGTCATTTGTGGACCCGCCCCATCGGTAACTGATGGCAATGTGGCCGATCGGTGATTGCGGCCGGCCTGCCGTTGGAGGACACCAAGTGGCCAGNGGGGTCAAGCTGATCCCCCTGTGGGTACCTCACTCACTACGCGCCCCTTTTTTGAAAATGGGCACTATCACCGATTCTGCCCAGTTGTCTGGGACAGACTCCTTTTCCCAAATGCAAGCAAACAGATCGGACAAGCGCTGACTGAGGACTTCACCCCCGTCTTTGAACAGTGCGGGTGGAAGGTCATCCGGACCGGGAGCTCGGTGGCGCTTGAGAGAACATATGCAGTCGAGGCCGTAGGTGGTTCCACGTTCACCGTCCAGGGTTCTACTTCACCTGTGGGCTCTAGATAAGTGCCGGCTGGAGGCCACGACATTTGTTGTTCGAAGTATACAGCCCATCGGTCGAGGCGTTCTGCTTTGTTCGAGATGGTCGTTCCATTCTGGTGTTTGATAGTTTCACTCACAGGTGGTTTCCGGGGACCGGTCGCACGGATCAACTGAAATAATCTCCGGGCATTGCCGGCTTTCTGGGCCTCTTCCAGTTCTTTGGCTTTCTGTCCACTATACTTCACGGTCGGATCGAAAGCTCATTTTCACTTGGCGTCTGATAGCTCTTCGCACCGGGTTATGTTCGGGACCGGCTGGGATATTTCTTCGAGATTTAAGTAGTGCCGCCGTTCGGTCTGATATCGAGTGCTTGAGTTCGCCTGGTTGGGTCGTGCCACAAGCAAAATTTTCAGCACTATGCAAAGAGGTGGCAATCTCGTCCCAGTATGAGTTCACATCTGATGGTGGAGCGTTTGGAAGGGACTCTAGAAGTCGATTCTTATAAGTTCGTCTGACATCCGGATCCGCCAGTCTTTCAGTTGCCACGCGATTTGTCCGCACCTTACGCGACCCCGAGAAACGTAGGGTGAAGCGACTCCGGACGAGCGCGTGGTCAGAGTCCACAAGTGTGTTCCAAAACGACCGGCAGTCAGTTATGGACCCGCGCCATCGG